AAGACACTTGTTTATGATGAGGAACAGTTTCAAGGAGATCCTTAGTTCAGAAAAGTTGTGGTTTAAATATGCAAAAGACTTATTGACAACAAATCTTACAGTTCTTTGTTGTGTAAAAGAGAAAATGGAAGAAAATTGCTTATTCATGAGATGAATGAAAATAGCAATCCCTTGTGTTAACTGTTTAGGAAGGGCCAAGAGCTCCTTCCATCTTGAAGTGTGATGTTCTCAACATTTCTATGTGCAAAATAGCAGCCTGTATTTGTAAGCAAGGGTCGTTCATCAGACATACCAACTCATGTAGTAGATTTTTCTTCTGTAATAAAACTGCTGGAAGAGTCTACAGAAAGAAAACGGTACTTAAAAGGAATTACTGACACCTTCAGAAGCTTTTTACCAATGTAGTGTGTGATGTAATATGGCAGAAATGTGAGTGATGTAACCAAGTACAAGCATTTTACCTAGAGGCAAGTGTTAATATTAACAGGCATTAGTAAAATCCTGAAGGACACCTTTCGTCTTATCCTAAAATCTTTAGCTTCAAATTTCAGGTTAAAGTACTGTTGAACTGAGTTCTCCGGTGCTCTCTTATCTCTGAGGAAGAAACTCAGTCTGTGCTTCTCTGGTACGTACTGTGTTATTCCTTGTGATTCCAGCTTCATTTGGGTTCAGATCTGAAGGTTACTGATCCCTCTGATCAAAACAAGAATGAACTACAATAAAACTTAGATGCCTGTACACCATCAGAATTGGTGATTATCAGGAGTAAAAATTGGAGGCAAGACAAAATTGGAACAGGTTGCCCAGAGAGGTAGTGGAGTCTCCTTCCCTGGAGATATTCAAAACCCGTCTGGATGTGATCCTGGGCAATATGCACTAGAGGTCCCTGCTTGAGCAGGGAGGTTGGACTAGATGATCTCCAGAGGTCCCTTCCAACCTAAACGATTCTGTGATTCTGGGAAAATGCTTATGAATTGGCTATGACTAGGCTGTCTGGCTAAAATTATGCATCTCATGGTGTTTGTAGCAGACAGAAGTGCTGTAACTTGCTACCTGATTGCATCCTCTTTCTTTCCTTCTTAAGCAGGATTGTACTTATCAGTTTCTGACTGTCCTTTGGTATTCCTGAAAAAGCATGATTTTTGTTTCATAGCTGTTTTAAATTTTCCTTTCGTCTATTTCTGGACGCTGTTTATATCCAGATGTCCCTCTTTTCTTCTTTTGTTCTTTTTGTCAGTCCTGCTGGCTTTGGTAGATATAAGAGATGGTATGTATTATCGCTTGTCATCTGCATATGCAATTAATGAATTGTACCGTTATAGTGTTACATAGTGCAGCATATTGTTTACGTTTTGATACACACAGAATTTAAAAGCCCTTTTATATGTCCCTGGTGGGGGGTGGGGGGGATTCTTTTTCGTAAACAGACATTTCTTAAAGCAGCTTAATGTACCACTATTCAAATGCGTAACAATCATGAGTTATACTACATGCTCCGTGGGTTGGTTTGCTTCAGAAGTATATTTCTGTCTGTTGGCAGAGATGTGGAGATGATTGCTTAAATAAAGGAAAATTGGCATACAAAATAGGGTGGGGATGGTGTAAAGGAGCGCTGCTGAGAACAGCATCACATGCAGTGATAACTATTGACAGAAGTATGAGTACCTTGCGCTCTGAAGAGTGGTGCAGGCTACCTGCAGCCCTGTGTAGAGACTAGATGGCAATCAAGTGGTATATAAATGCCTTTATAAACCTGGAAAGTAATCCAGTACAAGAGATTCCCCAACTGTGGATTTAGGCCTGTATGTTGATAACAGAAACTGCAGCTCAGAATGCTTTGTTCAAACAAATCATCTCATGGTAGTGATGATGCTCTAGTCAAAAGTTTTCTGCTGACCTTGTCCAGTGCAGTGCCTCTTTAAAATTAACTGATGGGTGTTTTATAATTGCAGCTGCTCGATTGTCAACCACACTTGTTTTCATATTTGCTTAGGTGATGCTTTTTCAAACATTGTTCTAAGAGACAACAGCATCTTTGTTAATGACGTGAACTAAGGGAGTTCAAGAACTCTGAATATGTTTGAGTCATGGTTCCCAGAGATTAAGTCTAGGGAGATACATTTGTGGGAATGGCTAGTGTAGTTTTAGAAGCAGTATCTGAAAAACCTTTTAAAAAATATTTCCATGATTCTGATGCAAAATGGAATTCTGATGAAAAACTTTTGGTCCCAGATGATTTGTTCCATTGTTCGTACTTCTCTGATCACTGTTGCATGTTAATGACTTTGAGAGGATTGCTGATGAGGTGCTGGACCTTGGGTACTTCAGTGAGATTTTGTACTTGAAAAAACAAATGGGATCTATGGAAGAGGACTCCCACACTTAGCTTAGATTTAATGCCCCGACACCTTCCCAAAATATAATGTCTGACAAGGGATACATAGAAGGTGTAGGTAGTCCCAAGACTTCTGTCGAGAAAGTGAAGTTGAATTGCTGGTCCATGTATCACTGTTACTGCAGTAGTAGCAGAGAAGTTTTTTATACGCTATTGAAATATAGACCTCCTGAGTGACTTGAGAACTCCCGAGGGGAATTGAACCCTAAACCTTGCAATTTTAATTCAGTCGATGCCCTTGAAAATGGGATATGCAGTTTTAGCTGGGCAGTCCATCCAAGTAGACTTCTGCTTGTGGGCAGTTCTTTATGCTTGCCAATGCTGCTTTTCAGACTCATTATGTGCAACAAAAATGTTAAGCAAAGAACTGGCTTACTCATGCTGCTGCAGCCTTCAAGCAGGTGATGTAGCATAACCCTTAAAAATGGTAAGATACAGGCCTGAAGAAAGTCCCCCTGGCCTTTTTTTTTGCCAGAGAAGCACAGGTAACTACTCTAATCTACTTTGTCACTCAGCTGGGCCAGTACTTCATAGGTGTTGAGTCTGCTGAAACCACCTGAATGTTGATGATTCCCAGAAAACCCAACCAAAAAACTAACAGGGTGCTTTCTGAACTCCAGAACTCAAACTGAAGCAATTCAGATTTCAGCTGCTGATTTGCTCCATTGCTCTCCAGGTGATTGAGTTATGATGAATGGAAATTAGCAAGATAAGACCTTTTTCAAGGAGGACCATTTATTTCATGAAAAAGCCTGACATCAGCTTTCTTCATCTTTCGTAGAACTTGTAGGTATAGAAATCAAGTTCATTCTTAGATTTACCTGCTGCTGAGGGCAGAGGGGCCCTTTCACATCTATTTTCGAGAAAGTCTATTTCAAACCCAGATGAAACTCTGTATAAGATGTTACATTATCTGTTGCATACTTTGAGATTCTGTCATCTGTGCTAGGACTGCACCGTTTTTGAATGGGAGCAATTTGGAGTCTTCAGCTTAACTAGTAATTGACAGTGTTCTTCTAGCTATATGTTTGCGTATGCCATGTCAGAGGAAAAGAAACATGCCTTAATCTTCACTGGAGTCTGTGATACAAAGTGTAAAAATAGCAATTGGAATATGTCAGTTGAGAAACTGCTGTTTGTGATCTCTCTCATTCGCTATATAATATACCATAGGCTGCTTGTAGACCTTGCTACGCTGTGAAGATGTGGGGGGAAAATGGAATAAAGGAGAAGTAGTGCATCAGGTACAAAAAGCGTCTGTGAAGAATGTGCCCTAATACAAGTACTAATGTAATTGCTGATTAACAGTATATTTCATTTGGACATTGTTTGAGTCTTCAGACACGTTCATAGTTTCTTTTCTGGACGTTTGCCAAAAGATCTTGTGATGGCTTAGCCACTCAATAAATAAATGGTTCCGTTTAGCCCTCTCTAGAGGATGCAGCAGTAAATCTTAATAGTGTTCTGCAGCAAATTCAGTCATGAAATCCAGAAATTAGAATACTTCCTATGAAACTCAAACCTGAAATACCACACTGACTCTTAAGGGCCTTATGCTTACCAGGAAATGAAAGTTTTTTGGTTTTCTGGCTCTGTTAACTTTTTCATCTGAAATATGAGTCTTTCCTTATATTATGTTGAAGTATTGCTTTAAAACTGGTTATGTTATGAGTTCTTTGTTTCATTCTGATCATAACATTGACAAAATTCTGTATATTAGAGGGGAAATTTGACTTCAGTAAGCAGTAGGAAATGGTACCCTTTTAGGCAATTTTAGAGCATGAGGGCAAGGGATTCTTAGGAGTTTTCACAAGCAAGCAGCTCAAGGAAGGTGCTTGTGAGAAAGGAAGAAAGGGATGAAATTTACAGAAATAAAAGTACACTGCACAAGTATTAGGTGTTCTTTGTCTTTATCTTGATTGCCTCATCAAAAATACAGAAAGTAGAAAAACTGTTATGGAAAGGTGATTACAAAAACATTGACAAGAATTACTATAAGAAGAGATTTGGGAAAAGTGATATTTGATAGATGAAATAGTAATGAAGTGTGTTCTCAGTGATAAACTCTTAACCCCAGTGCTGCTTTTACTTGTTCTTACTTTATGAAGACAGTGTATGTAGTTCAATCTCAAGCTTCCTTTTTACAAAAGGAGTATTTGCAGTCCATGTCTAGCAGTAGGAGTCAGTAACATGTGGAAAGTACTGTTTTCTGCAACGCTTGCAAGTATTGCAAACAAGATTGTATTCTCTGAGAGTTTTATCTCCAGCATCCCCTTATAAATTAGGGGAGGATCAACATTATGGAGGAAGAAACTGGCAAGGTATATTCCAAATCCTGTAGCTTCCGCAAAAATATTATTTACCCATGGCACAGCTGAAAGTGGGATATGAGCAAGGTGTGAGTAGTGAGAAAAGTGAGTAGTAGCAGGATTCTGAACTACTATATGCAAGCCATACATAGATAAAGAGGTAAGCAACGTTTTAGTTATTTAAGCCAGGTCAACCTGAGATAGGTGCTTAACAGTTTTTGAAACTGAAGTGTCTTAACAGTTTTTTGCAACCCTTTTTTAAAGCATATTCTTTTTTTTTTTGTTTTGTATTTCAGAGATCCAGCTTACTTTGATGAAAACTGGTTAAACAGGATCAAAACAGAAGTAGGAGATAATTGGAGGCTAAAGGTACTTGGTTTCTTTTGCTTGTCTGCAAATCCGTATTTCAGTTCTTAGTTCAATAGTGTACTTAAATGATTATGTTTAACATATTTCTAGGTTAAGACTTTGCTTTGTGCTAGAATATTTTGACTTTTAAGACGATTTTAGTTGCAGTTATTTATTATGTTATTACAATCTTGCACAGTTTAATGAATGAAAAGGACACATGTTGAATTTGAAAACAAGTTTCAGTTATTTAAAAGAAGAGTATTAAAAAGTTATATACTTAAAACAACATTTGAACAACAAAGAAGGGTGACTAGAAGGGTTTTTTTACTGCAAATTATGAAAGTAATTTTTCGAAAAGAGGCGAATGAGCTCTGAGAAACAACTACGTAAGAATAGCAAAGTAATAAGCAATTTATTGAAATAAAAAGGCAAAATGTTGTTTCTTTTTACTGTGTCAGCTCCGCAAAACTACTGCGCTTTAGGAGAGGAAGTGGTGCTTTTCTGTGTTGTGTGTGCTCAGCATGTTTTCTGACCACAGTCTATTTGCTGGATCATTTGTATCACTTGGTATTCTAGTACTTTCTCTATAAACCTTCAAGGCAATAGAATTTACACTGGTGTCACTGTGGAGCATTTTGGTTTACTGAACTTAAAGAATGCAGTTTGACATGCAGCTGTTAGTGTAGTTTCTGATCAGATTTAATGAGAAAACAAAGATATAAGTGCATTCCTAAACTGCCATTTGCAGTGTGATTTTTGGGGAAAACAAAACTGGAATTGTTCATCTGTTAGTTCATGCTTCCCGTAAACACGATTTGTTTTAGCCCCCAAAAGCCCTTTTGAACATCTAGGAAACAGAACTGTGAAATATTCTAATTCTTGCTGTCTTGTCATTATCACTGACTGAATAGAGGGGACAGGTAGGTAAGTGCCACTTGAGGAAAGGGTAGAGCATACTGCTGTTGTCCATCTCACGGTTTGCTCAGCAGATCTGGCAGCATAGTCTCTACTGCCTGGCCAGTTTTGTGCGGGTCTGCCTGGCCAGTTTTGTGCGGGTCTGGACTGTTTTAGCATTTCTTGCCTGACAGTTGGATTGCCAGCAAAAACGTGCGAACATTGATGAGAATATATTGATAGGCTGGCGAATAAAAGAGATGCGCTCCAAAAACACTTTTCTGGTTCTGCTTATAAAACAGTTCAGTTTGAAGTAATTTTTTAAAGAATACAAAATTACAAATGAACAGCTAAATAGGAAGTTTTTTCTGTAAAATTGCTTTTTTAAAAGGAATCTTGGAGTCTTGGCTCTTAAATTCAGAGGACAGTTTGAAAACCGTTTGTTATAGCAGCATTTCAGTTGATTGAAAACAAGCAGTAACTTTTTGTATCTCTCATGTGGAGGTTGAGGAAGGAAATTTCTCTCCCCCACCAGTTTGGCAGATACTAAAGCTTAACAGGTGTGAATAAAAAAAACCACTGAGCAATCTAATAACTTCCTTGTGTGATTGAAGTCTGGGAAAACATCAGCTCAGATTTCAGTTTCTTGCTGATGTCATTCCTTCTTGATTTTCAGGTTTCCATATAAATAAGAAGTAAAGACTGATTCTTTTTGTTCTTGTTTAAAAGAAGCATATACTCCAGCCTTTTGAAATCACCCTCCCTTTTCATAAGAGATACTAAAAGGCAGAAATGTGTTATTTTAACTCTTGTTTTGTAACCATTAAAGTAATCTTATGTATTGCCAGCTATTGTTCTTTAAATATGAGTAAACACAATTAGTACTTTAGATCTTCATCTTTATCAGTGATTTATAGTCTAGCTGGTAGGAACATTTTTCAGTCTGTACACTTCTGTCGGTTTGCCGCCAGAACTAAAATGCAATCAGCATACTTCTGTGCATCTCTGTAATGTAGATTTCTCTTCATATTTTAAAAAGCAGGAAGAGAAATTCGATTGGGTTAGCATATTTCATGCTATCTCACAAGTCTTTTGATAATGAATTGAAGTATATTCTTGTTGCTAGACAGGGTTGTTCTCTGCTTCTACTATCAAATGGTGTAGTAGTCATCCACTTGTACAAGCTGTCACTATCATGAACCACATAAAGGAGCCAGTCTAGAGGGGAAATGGGTAGAAAACATATTGTGCAGGTTATTCCACTTCCCTAATTTGGCCCACCTAACCACTGTTGACAGATACTCAGAAAATTATGCAATTGTGAAGTTTGAATTGGATGCTGTCATGCATGGAAAAAAATAAAACTGAGCCGTACATTCTGGTTTATCTTTTTATTCATTGGGTTAATGTTTTTAGGATTACTTGTTGATAATTGCAAGGATGCTATCTTACTAAAATATTTTCCATTTGCTGTACCAGTTTAAAATAATCCTATACATTCACAGGAATGCTGTTATAGTCTTGTTTTTGGAGCAAGCTGTCTGACTCTAGAGACTGAGCAATATGTAGGATAAGTGAAAAAGGGAAGTATTAGAGTTCTAGGGACTTGCGAAGTGAGAAGCATTCAGCTAGCTGGCATTCTCCGAATGAAGGCTGACCAAGTCTCTTTGGCTTACTATGTGTAATAGAGAAACATTTTGTTTCTTTTTTGGGGTTAAAATTTCTGGAGCACAGCATACCTCAGCATGCTTAGCAGGGTTTTTTTTTTTTTTCCCCCCCCTATGGGAGAATGAGAAACCCTTCTTTTCACTTTTCCTTTTCATAAAAGAAAATTTTATGTCATGATTTAAAGAAATATCTATAAAAGCAAAGACATCTCTTTTCTGAGGGGCAGTTGAACACTTTAACATATTCAGAGTTTAAATTGCAGACACATCAATATTTCGTGCTGACACATTCTGAAGACAAAACGGCCTTCGCTGGTACTGGGAAACGGCACAGAAAATAATTCTGTTGCCAAGATTTTGCAGGAATGAAGTCCCTAATCAAGAAAGAAGAATAGTTCAGTGTCAAGGGACATAGAAATAACAGTAACAGAACAGAAATTTACACAGTTAATGGTTTGATACGCACACGTCAGATACTGAATTTTATCACTTTTTTGGCAGTTACAGAATATGTCGTGAACTGTCCAAAGGATGGAGAAAAAGAACTGAAACCTTTTTTTTTTTTTCCCCCCCC